GAACGCATGCAATCTCAGGTGAAATCTCCCTATCGTGAAACATACACAAGGCACACCCGGCCTAAAGAAATGTTCCACACCAGTAGCTACGCAGAGATCCTGGCACAATACCCTGCAAACTCTCCCGCGCAAAGGTTACTGGAACAAAGCTCTGACCCCAAGACATGTACAAGGCACACACACCTACAACATGTTCCATCCCAGTGACCACAGTAGGATCCTGGCGCACACACACGCAAACCTTCCCACCATTCAACACTGAACGCAGAGCTTCCACTGAGATACGCACCACTGAAAACCGACCAGCCATTCATTCACGCAAGCAAAGGGACACCATCCTTTGTGGTTTATCACACGTCCGCTTCCCAGGCATATATACAGGCTCGGGGCACTTTCTTGGTCATCCGACATCATGTCAAACCAAGACTCAAGCCCTCCAAGTTCGCCGTTCCCATGTGCGCAGGTTATTCCTGAAACTGATTTGTCTGACTCAGACTCGTCTGATAGCAGTCAAAAATCTCTCTTCAATAGTCGTCTGGCCCATGAAGTGCAAACTTCAATTAGACAGATCTCATTAAGAGACACAAAGATGAGGATAAACCGGTCCCCAGAACAAAAGACAAGCAGCAAACCAGCAGAGACCACCGACTAGAACACAAGGACTACAAATTTGTCCGAAGACTAGCGGTACCTCTCCTCCAACAAATGGTTTCAAAGCGAGTCTCCCTGAACAAACAGATCAACTTGCTGGAGAACGCCGTCAAGCACAAGAACCCACCGAAGTACCTCCTCAGCCAAGTTCCAGTCCCTACAATAACAAGTGCAAGTGTACACCACCGTACTTTTGGTCCATTTGGGGGCAGTTCCTCCTGGATACCACCCAGCCACTACACAAAATACCACGTGACCATAATATTATTGCACATATTTTGTCTCCATTAACACAATTATAATATACATCTTTCTGAATTGTTACAAATTTAAAAAAAAAAAAATTTGAACCAACAAAATCGCTAAGACACATTACCAAGACGAAGACGGGGGCCAAACACACTCGATCCACTGTGTTTGTTCCTTACAAGACTCAAGCCAATGGTTTGGGGACCGTTTCAAGCCACATACATACCTCACGACCAGTTTATGGGTCTTCTGGCTGGCCATTACACCAAACGTTGACGGTATAAATGAATTTTGTTATTAATAATTAGAAAATGTGGCACATGATCTCCATGCACCGGCAGTAGATAGGGCTGTTGTGAATACTCCATCAAAATCTTTTTGCCTGTTGGAATATTCAAAGGGGAAAAAATATGCAGGCACACAAATGCATCTGCACATCAGTGTGCAGTAGTAACCCAGATTCTTACAGGAGCACATCTTATGCTGTTTTGCGTATCTCCCAGAATTCTATTTCTTCAATTTTTAGGAACAACTGTTAGTATTTTGAATTATTCTGCCCTGTTAGCATAATTGTAATAAAAAAAATGTATAGCAGTATTAATTACATTCATACTCGTCAATTGTTAATGCATATGTATCACTACTTTGGGGTATTCAATTTAATCAGCACTTAAACTTGCAGCATTTAACCTCTGATCTATCTCTCTTTTGGTGCATTTGCACTTGTGTGTGCAGGACTAATTGCTCTGATGCAACTGCATATATTCGTCTTGCAGTTCCTTCAGCAACAGCATCTTATCTTGGTTGGTCCACTGACTTGTGCATTTGCACTTGTGTGTGCAGGACTAGTTGCTCTGATGCAACTGCACATATTTGTCTTGCAGTTCCTTCAGCAGCAGAAAATGATGATGCTTTGCAGAGTTTGAAGTGTTGCGTACTGCTCAATTCATAGCAGCTAGCCTCTATCTCCATTCATAACAACACATTATTTATATCTCACCATTCAACATTCAACACTGAACGCAGAGCTTCCACTGAGGGAAGGTCGTCACTTTAAAGCTGGATTCAATATTTTAAGCCATTATGTTGCAAGCTGCAAAAGACTACCCAAAGTTGACCAAGACAGAATCTCACATGACATCTGTAAGAGATGCCATTAATGACGAGGGTAGGAAGGTAGCAGTCAAGCTTGGGCTTATTAAAATTACACCTCGCATGAGCCAAACTATTGTATTATTCTGTTAATTCAATTTGCTCCCACATTAGGCCCTCCTATTATTGGAAAAGTACAGGTATTACTGTCAACCATAAAAGAAACTAGAACTTTCGGATGAAGAAGTCAGCCAGACTCAACTTTGAAGAACTGCAATGTATCCAGCCCAACCTGTCCAGGAAGAAATAAGGCCGTACAGAAGCCGTTTTGCGGATGATTTTGAGCTGATTTGACAGGAAACAAGAAGATATCAACAACATCAAGACGGACCTGGCCCTTATTAAGAGCCATTTAGTTTTAACACAGGGACAAAAGTTGGAACCGAGGGTTGTGCAAATTTCAAACGATCAGGAATTTTTGGGATGCAATGGAATTGGTACGTGTACCATCAATAGGGCCGCCTATTTTGAGTTGTACCCTATTAAAGGCATCAGGCCCAAAAGAGTTGGTCCTGAAACTGATGTCGGCTCTTTTTTCAAGTGATAATCTGGCTAGAAGCAACTTTCATGGGGGGAAGTTATCTGCAAGGGAGGGGTCATCAGAAAGGACGCGCTGAAGCACACTAGGGTATTTCAGGCAATACTGGCACAAGCGGGAAATAGAGTTCCCCGATTCCACAAAAGGAGACGTATACAGGAAGGCACTCACAGACGCAGTCAACGGAAGGTGTTGAAAGATAGCAACTGTTTGCAAACAGATAATTAGATAATCCGGTTTAATATCAGTTTTAAATTAACCAGACTGAGGCAGTACATTTTAAAATCATGAAGTGTCGACACAGAAGATAATCAGGTTTGTTTTCTGTTAACGAGACTGGGAAAGGTTTATTTTCAGTTAAAAGTTAAAAATATTTGTTCACATTGTAGTTTCACCTGGCAATAAAACAAATCTGTCAATAGTAGAACTTGTATCCCTTTGTTATTGATATAAAAAAAAATACATGTAGTTTGTGGATGATCATCCTAGTGAGACTGGGCATGCAAATATCACAGGAAAGAAGAAATTGCCACTTCAATAGGAATGTACATAAATTCCAAAATAGCACGACTCATCTTATAAGAAAGGTTTGAAGTAATCGTCACCCGCTGATGATGTTTATATTTCTTCCCTGACCGAAACAACAATAGGTCTACCCAGACCCCGGACTACCCGGAAGTATGAACACGTTACACCTCTTCTCCGTCAACTTCACTGCCTCCTGGTCCACCACCGAATCGTCTTCAAGATCCTCACCACAGTCTACAAATGTCTCCATAACCACGCCCCCTCATATCTCACCACTCTCATTGACGTGTATCACCCCAGACGACCTGGCCTTTGGTCCGGTTCAGACAACACACTGCTTGTAGTTCCTAAAGTGCATTCTTTGATAGGGGAACGTGGTTCTATGCACATGCCCCACGTCTTTGGAACAGTCTTCCGAGGGAAATCCGCTCAGCACAAACATTTCGAGGGTTCAAGAACCGTCTCAAGACTTTTCTGTTCAATCGTTAAACTGCCTTCACTGTTTTCACTTATTTTGAGTCTTTTTTTCTATAACTTACTTTGCTGTTAAGCGCTGTGATACCTTATGTGTATCTATAAATGCTTGTTATTATCATTATTATTATTAACCCATTCGCTTTGCCACATGAGTAGTACTTGAACATTTTGAGGTCCCTTTCCAAATGTTAGACAATGAGTTTTACATTACACAAAACAACACGTCATGAGATCAATGGAAATGTGTCGTTCTTCAATTGTGTCCGTTTCACTATGAAATAAACTTAAGTTTCAATTGCATCAAGTTTTTGGAAGGTTCAAAAATGACGTAATTTTTTTTTTAGGTATTCATCACTGCCCGCCCAAGTTTTCACATTCGGCCCAATGTTTAATATTTGTACATTTCTTTGTAAACTGAGTATTTTCACAAATAATTTTTTTTCTGATACATTTCAGAGCATCAGAGACAAGATCTACCGCTTCACCGGACCATATCAAAGTGGTTTCAAAAGAGGCAGGAGCTGCGCAGACATTGTATGGGCACAACGTATGCTAACCTCAGTTGTTATGACAAGGAAATGGGACTTCCACAAGATGGGCATTGATCTGTCGCGAGCTTTCGATACCATCAAGCGGAAACGCATCCTAGATGTCCTACTACAAGCAGGCTGCAACGAAGATGAAGTAAGACTAGCAAGATCACTGTTAGCAGAGACAAAGCTCAGGGTCTGTGTAAAAAACGAGCTGTCAGACTCATTTGAGACCTCAATAAGATCCCCCCAGGGTGATAGCCTATCACCAGTCTTTTTCACCTGCTACCTTGCTGCTGCACTCTCATCCGTCCGAGAAAGCTCCAACAGGCCCAACCCACCGGTCTCCAGCCTAGGTCTGCCACTAGAAATGGAGTACGCACACGATGTTGACTCTCCGGATGAAGAAAAGAAACCCCTGGACCATCTCCAGCCAGTAGCAGCGGAGAAACTAAAAGTCGACAACTTGTTCATGAACGTGACGAAGACAGAGTTTACTCACGTATACCTTGCAGAAGCCACGGAGACAGACTCACACGGCAAGGCTGTCCGTGGCAATGAGAGTTGGCGCAAGAACAAGACCCTAGGCTCCTTACTGTGCAGCACTTCAGACATCACAGCTCGCTGCATTCAAGGCAATGTAACATTCCACACGTTACAGAAACTCTGGAGCCAGCGAACCAAGATCCCGCCGAAGACAAGACTCCGTCTCTACAACACATACTGTGTATCAATCATGCTCTACAATTGCAACAGCTGGGCAGCACCCAAAGTCATGCTTGACAAGCTGGATGCGTGCCACCGCAGACACAGGTCACTGCTGGCCACAGAGCCTTATCAGCAACCAGGCACTATGCGAACTGTGCAATGAAGAACCCTTCTCATCAAAGGTCACAAAGCAAAGATGGTCAATGTTAGGCCATGTCCTACGTATGGATCCCGACACACCCGCTCAGAGGGCCTTAGACTTTACTGTTACTGGCTCTCAAGCCTACAAACCCAGACGAGGACGGAATTGCATAAATCTACTGGGCACAATACGTGCTGACCTCAAATGGGCTGGACTTGGACCCCTCCGCACTGCGAAACAACTCCATTGCCTACGGCAACTCGCCCATGACAGGACCAGGTGGCCGAAGACCAATGTGAAGGACTGATTGCGGCTGCGGGATGTCAAATCCGTCTACCGCAGCTGCAGTACACAGTATATATATATATATATAACAAAGATTAATACCAAAAGTCGTTTACAAGTAGAAAAATCGTGTACAAAGTCTATGGGATTTGCCACAGAACAAAAAGGAGAGAAAGAAAGAAAAAAAATGAGAACAAAAAGAAAGGCTTTTCCGCTACTTTGCAGAAAAGCAACACACAAAAAGGGGGAAAAAACCCTTAACAAAAACAAAATCTGTCCCCAATGCAACAAATAGACAAATTCTAGCCATTTTTAAGTTTTCGTTTTGCCAATTGCAAGGGTGTACATAGAAGCCTTTTGCAGGCATGCAATTGGGAATTTAGAAAAAAAAACCAGAAATTCCAAACCACAACAAGACTTTGTACATTGTTATTCAATTTATGAATGGCATTCTTGAGAAGTTAAAACCAAGGAAATCGGCTGATCTGAGGAAAAGTTGCTTGCCTGCTTTTGCTCAGGCAAATTTTTCTGTCTGGTGTGACGTCATTTCAGGCCAAAACCCCAATGTTACAACTACTCAGTACCAAAAGTTGTTTTTAACTCTAACGTACCTGAAAATCCACACCCCTGTTTTGGAGGATTTCAGCTGAATCAGGATACTTCATATTGAACAAGTTGGGGTATTTTGATGGATTCAGGACAGTAAGCCCAACAGCACTGCAGGATTTTGATAGATTCAGAAGGCTTCCATATTGAGCAGTTGGGGGGGGGGGGGGGCTTTTGACGGATTCAGGATCTCAACAATTTAACCCCTGGCTCACTGGTGGATACTGGACTCACTGGATACCAACATTTGTTTGCATGACAAAACTGATGGATTTTGGCGGATTCAGGATACTTTCTATTTACAATACCCAAGGGGTTATGGTTAATGGCACATTACCGCCTGGAATGCACCCACTTGGCTACAAAACACTTTTGGATACAATTAAATGGCAAGAACAGTAAAAGTAAAATATAAACTTCCACACAAGCATCCATTAAAAACTGGCTGCGTTTGTGTTATTCTTGCAAGAACCGTGCGAGAACAAATTTCCGGGGTCAATATTTTGTTTTCGAAAATCAAGCTGTGGATGCGTCAGAAAAAAACATTTGTGTTGGTGCTCTGTGTAGTTTATGTGACACACACTGTGTATTGAACGTTGAATGGACCGGACAGGATTAACGTATGCGTATATGCCTTCACATCAGATGTTAAGACATAAGGGGACGGTAAGGCATAAGGTTAGTTTCCTTGCAATCAGACCTTAAAAAAGTAAACAATACAAAACATGACATTTTGGGGGATTTCAGGCAGGAATACCCCTTTCAATTTTTGGATATTGTGGTATTGTAAATAGCATTAGCCAATGAGCAAACGTTTCTCAAGTACCTGTTTAATGAGCAGATTTTTTTGAATTCACAAAACCAAGTCATTTTTCCCCAATGTACATTTTACCCTTAATGTACAAAACAACTTAATTTGCACAAATTACGGCAGGAATATCAGTTGATAGAGCATATATATGTGACGTGGTATGTCAAATTCAGGCACATTTGGGCAAGAAGTCAATTTTCAGTTACTGCAATATTAGTGACATATAGGTCTCTCTCAAATGATGCGACTACAGATTGCCACATGCATCTCGGCATTTTGGATTCAAATGTTCTTGACGCTCATCGGCTGCACCTTTTTTCAATTTTTCAATTCAGAAAATTTGAGTAACATGCGCACGTGTTCAGAACATTTTGTCTCACCGTGCACAATGGCGTTGTGCAAATGACAACGTACTTTTCTTAATATGTCTTATAAGAGATACATCTATAGACTTCACTCTTACAAAGACCCCTTTTTTCTGAAATTTGATAATACAACATGGTTTTGACATACTGTGTCACATAACATATGATTAATACCAAAAACATATTAAAAGAAATATTACTATGTTATTCAGTGGCGGATCCAACATTTACAGAAATGAGGGGGGTGCCAATAAAGGATGCAAACCTGAACATTCAAGCAGGGCACATTGTACTTGCTATTCAATGTGGTTGAAAAGTTTCTGTCTTGAATATATCACAAGTGAAGTGAAAAAAAAGGAAAACAGACAAGATGAATGCACTTCCCATTCTGCCCATCTGATCCGCCACTGTTAATACTTAAACAATGCAAATCAACACCGAACTAGGATATATTTTTACATTCAAGAAAGAAGTAAACAGTTACCACATTCCCCTGGTCTTGTGCCTGTGGTCCCCTCCAGCGTGGATCCCCTCCAGCGTGGATCCCCTCCAGCGTGGATCCCCTCCAGCGTGGGTTCCCTCCAGCGTGGGTCCCCTCCAGCGTGGGTCCCGTCCAGCGTGGGTCCCGTCCAGCGTGGGCTTCCTCCAGCGTGGGTCCCCTCCAGCGTGGGTTCCCTCCAGCGTGGGTTCCCTCCAGCGTGGGTTCCCTCCAGCGTGGGTTCCCTCCAGCGTGGGTTCCCTCCAGCGTGGGTCCCCTCCAGCGTGGGTCCCGTCCAGCGTGGGTCCCCTCCAGCGTGGGCTTCCTCCAGCGTGGGTTCCCTCCAGCGTGGGTCCCCTCCAGTGTGGGTCCCCTCCAGCGTGGGTCCCCCCCAGCGTGGGCTCCCTCCAGTGTGGGCTCCCTCCAGCGTAGGCCCCCTCCAGCATGGGCTCCCTCCAGCATGGGTCCCCTCTAGCTCCACCTGTATGATCCAGTCTATATGTCTCTGGGTAAGAGGTCTCCAGGTGAGGGCCGCAGAAGGTGCTGGAGCTAAGCCAAGTGGTCTCTCGATCTCCTTCGCAAGCATTTACTGGAAACCAGCACGGCCTGTTCACCAATCAAACATAATACATAATATCAGATCAAGACGCCGAGTTGAAATACATGTAGAGTCAATTACAAGTCAAATTACAGGTCTAATAATACTCAAGACACACTGTGATCTTTAAAGCATTGCATTTCTTACAACTAAGTCTGAAACCTTCTAAAATCGCATTTGTTGGATTTTACCCACTTGATCGTTCATGTGGTTGTCCGGATCAGACCGGCCACATGCTAGCGGGCAGCGCGGTATGTACAGTGGTACCCTACTGTTGTGTACCATTGTGTGCTGTGCACTCAAGCACCACACACTGTATAATTACCGTGCGATACAGTCAGCATCACACGCTTTCCATGTCAGCAGGTCAATGTTTCAACTTTCATCCAGTGGGAAAAGGCTCCATTCAGTGTTGGCCTAGGTGTTTGTATATTCCCTTTACGGCCGGCAAGTGAGATCAGCTTCATCCTGAATCAAGACTCAGCAGCACTGATTTCAACAAAATGTACCCAAAGCAGCTTGATTGTACTATTTGTGTCCTTATTTTGTGTGGTTCATGAAACACCACAAAGCATATATGCATAAAAGGGAGGGGAGGAGAGCCCACTGACACCACTGCGTATATACACCATGCGGACAGGAGGGAAGAGGCATTTCTTACATAAGTTCTTTACAGACGGCCCACTTGCAAAGAGTAAACTGCATACCTTGGCAGTCACACTTGTTGGCGATTGTCCCCATGCATTCTTGCATTTGCGGATGCCCAGCTTGATCTTAGGCCTATCTCTAGTCTCCTCCAGCATGGCTTCCAGCGTCAGCCTGTCAGCTCTATAGGGGCTCTGGTCTGGGTCTCTACAAAGTAAGAGGTCAGGGCAGTGTAGGGTATTATGGCTCCAAAACTCGCAGCCAGGATCCTAGTCAGTAGCCTGTTCATGGATAAAAAGCAAAATTAGAAATAATTTTTGAAGAACAAGCTAGAGGCAGAGTTGAGATTGTGTAAATCACAAGTCAAATTACAACAAAACAGGATGAATGAAAGAGGAATATCTGAACAGTTCACATGAATTGCTTGCAAAAAAAAACAGTGCTGTTAAACCAAACAGTGGCATATGAATTCCTTTGGTGTATTAATTGTACATCTAAACTCCAATAAAATGTGCCGTTGCTCAATGGCTCAGCGCGTTGGGTCTGTTTATTGTATACGTGCTAGGCAGCGTTAGTGGACATACACAGAGCTTATCTCTATGTGTCCAAGGTCATCTGGCTGTGCGCTTTGGCCAGTTTACATGGGGTCCTTCTGACCACAAAGGATTTGATATGTTATACCTTCAAAGAAGGTTCAAGTGCTCTCCAACCAGTAGATCGTCTCACACGTGACTGGTAGATCATCTCACACGTGACGCCCAGTGTCAGCTCAATAACAGGGTTTTTGGCACTGCACCCACTGTTGGAGACTGGGTTAAGGACTATATGATTCATCCTGTTCTTATTAGGGGAGTGTGGGCAGGGCCGTAAAGACAACCCCACCAAATTCCTCGGTCAGACAGTTGCTGCCACCCAGCTGCAGCCAGAAGCACTGTAACTGCGCAAGGGCCGCTCTTTGCAGTTGGTGGCCCAGTTGTGCGAAGCTGGCCCATCAGTAACTGCCGCTCAGGTTCAGCCGGAAGACGCTGTGACTGTGCAAGGGCCGCTTGTGGCAGTTGGTGGTTCAGCGCTATTGTGTGAATCTGACCTAGCAGTGACTGCACCTGACCCTTGCTGGTAACCGTCACCATATGGTGTACTTGGTAACCTAGACATCCATCCACCAACTTGATGTTGCACATACTTCTTGTTCCCCGACCCAGCAGGTCCTCTTCCCTCTAATTGTAAAAGTTGGCTTCCACTGTGTCCTGCAACATAATGAAGAATGAGAAAGTGATTCCAATCACTTCTTTAAAGGATTAAAAAGAGAGAGAAAAAATTTCCAATCCAATTTCAAACACAAACAAACAAACATGAATTTGTTTCAGTGGGACTCCGGTTTTAATCCTTGTTGCAGGGACGACCGTACACTATTTTTGCAGTACATGTTGTGTAATATAATCACTTAGACATTTCTGGGTTACAAAATTCACTTTTCTAAAATTCCAAAGAAATTCACATCCTATTCACCAACTTTTTCAAATTTTATCAAATCCAGGTTTTGTAGTGAAGCCTTTAATTAACTGGTTAGGGTTCTGTCACACTTCTGCGTATCCTAATTCCTTATGAGTTGCGCATTGACATTTTTTTTCATACGCAGTCGTACGCACAATACGCACCTCATATGCATCTCTAGCATTTTGTGTAAGTTTTATGTACGCAGGCATACGCATGGTACGGCCCAATACGCCGGATAGTTTTGGGCATGCACAAAACTACGCTGCGTACGCTGTTACGCAGGTTATACGTTATAAATACGCAGCACATTTGGCCCTGCATCGGTCGAGCGTGGTACGAGTACGATATGTGTTACGAGTGGATAAGTGGTTCATACGCGGTAATACGCTGACCTCCCGGCACGCACCCCGTCAGCATATGAGCCGGTGTATACATAGCGTACTTGCAGCGAAGATACAGCACACGCTGAACGAACTCATAGCGAATGCCGACGTACTGCAAGAATTGGCACTGCTCACTCTGCGAGTGGGCAGCGCATTGTACTTATTGGTAACTTATGAGAACACACAGATAGCGTACTTGCCGCAACTCATACGCATCTCATATGCAGTGGATGCACTGGATTCGTTACTTGTACGCTAGATGTGCGTCGCACATTAAAGTCAAAATAATTTTAAAAAAATTGACGTTTTGAGCGTATGGCTGGGTATTGAAACATTTTGATAAGGAACTCATAAGGAATTAGGATACGCAAAAGTGTTGACAGGGGCTTTATATTAATGAAGTGCATCGAGTCGGGTTGACCAGGCCAAACCGACCCAAAACATTGGAGATATAAACCGAATCCGAACTGAAACCAATCTTAACTCCCTCAAACTGACCCGACCCGACAAAAATTAAGGTGAAACCGATCCAAACCGACCCGACTCGAAAAAACCCCCGAAAAAAACGAATATACCTTGCTTGGACAAAGTTATCACTTTTTTGTGCCTGCCCTTACCCACATGGCATGAATTCTTTTGCAAAACCATCGTCTCTCTGTCTGTCACACTCAGTTGGTTCATCGAGAGCAACTCTGCTTATTGAACAAACGCTTGGTATCATCACGCGGTATCATGAAAACTGTTACAATGTATCTAAACCGACCCGACCTCGGTTTCGGTTTCACAGTGTTGTAGTCGAGGCCACAACCTCCGAGGCCGAGGCCAAGGCTGAGGCCACAACCAACGAGGCCAAGGCCGAGGCCGAGGCCGAGGCCACAACCGCGAGGCCAAGGCCAAGGCCGAGGCCACCGCCTCCGAGGCCAAGGCCGAGGCCGAGGCCAGCTATCAAAACACATAATAAAATATAAATCACTAAAACAAGGCTAAGATTATGTGGGAGTTTTAACATCTTTTCAGTTGAATTCACTGAGTTTTGGAGTGCCTGGCTTACAAATTTACAGCTTGCAACGGGTTTCCTCTTGTACAGATTTTATTTTTTAAAGAAAGAAATCTCAAGTTTTGTATCACTGAAAGCAAATTACACAACAAAATCAATGGCGTTTGAATCAGACTCATAGGTGTTTGCCCTTTGGAGATACAACAATTTAAATGGCCAAATTTTGAGTTTCAATTCTGTAAGATTTACATCATTTACTTTTGGCATGTTTTATGAATCTTACTTTAAAAAACCTATCAAAATGCTTAATATCATAGGAATCCCCATTAAATATACAACAACTTGATTTTTGAATCAGGTTTTTACCACTCATAACCAAAAAGTTACGCCCCCCCCCCCCCGACCTTCGCACTGTCCAGGCGCGCGCCGAGCAAACACCGCGATGCGACCAGACAATGCCAGATGGCCCGCCGTTACGCACGGGCAAAGCATAGTTCCAATCCCACTCCACACAACGGGATAAGTGTCCACGCATTATCACTGTTAATACCACGGTACCAGGCAAAGTCTGGCAATGGCCAATCCCGCTCCAAACAACACGGCAACACGGAACATGCGTGCATGATATCACTCAGTTCATCAAAATGACCGTGAATTCTCGGATCATCCGATTTGAATCCAATGGCTTCGAAGAATTTTAAGATCATGGCAAGAGGTAGGGAGTCCAGAGGTTTTGGCCGTATATCTGTAACCACGCAAAATTAGTCAATTTCAAACCGTGCTTATACATGTAATAAGTATCAACATGGCTCTAAAAATACAAAAAAAGTATCCTGGTACCACGAGGAATACTGACTCCTATTATTAAAACATTCATTCAGAACTTTGCATTCATTTGGATGGAAAAACGAATTCTGAAATCGCGCTTTCCATATTGACCATTTGCGCCAAACATTACCGTGTGAGCCGGAACTTTCATTTAAATTGCCGTCTAAAAATAAAATCTACTTGATAAATCGTAATTGTTTTTATCATATCTTTATGGGGGGAAAATGGTACGGACTAGTACACTCGATCGTACCCAGAAAGTTCAGACTTTTACTGAAACAATGGCCTATAAAAAGAAATGATTAAGCTTGCCGCACCTTGCTGCAAATTATTTTTAAAGGTCGGGGTACAGAGGCGAAACGAGAAAATTTTGTACAACACTGCAACCAGACTAGTCTACTACCACATGTTATTGTACGCAAATGGGATTGGTGCCAGACTATTGTAGTCTGGCACGCGGTGACAGTTATAACGCTTGCACGCACGTGGAAAACTGAAGCGCAGGCTAGGCGAAGATGCTAGGTACGTGAGTACGTATAAACTATAATGCAACCATTTCCAGTTCATTCGTGCGTACATTGTATATATATGCGTTCGTTTCACAGAACCCACTGCGGCAGAATCTCGAGGGCTTAAATTTAAATTAATAGGAAACACATCAAAATGGGCGGCCTCGAGCCGGCCTCGACCGATTCGCCGAGGCCAGAAGGCTCCGAGGCCGAGGCCAAGGCCGAGGCATTGCACCTCCGAGGCCAAGGCCGAGGCCGAGGCCATGAAAATCTGCCTCGAGGCCGGCCTCGAGACCTCCAACACTGCGGTTTCAGGTCGGGTTTGCACATCATTACTTTATATGAAAGCATTTTAAAGAACATTTGTCATCGAGCAGTAGCTTAGTGGGTAGCAAGATGGGAAAAAATGTTGCAACCTGACAGCACTTCCACGATTGTGTACAAAGTCTATGGAGAGACAAGAACATTTTTGAAGTATTTCTTAACAAATTTGGAAAAATTTCTCAGTCCCACATTCATGTCTTATCATTTTTGCAATGAATGACCTTCATTGAGATGCAGTGGCATATCCAGGGGGGGGGGGGCACTTTGTCCCCCCTGGTGGATTTTTTTGACAATTTTTTTTTTTGTCAGCAATGATTTTAATAAATGTTTAAAGATTTTTCTGACATAAATCCCACCAAAGAAAACCTGCTCAACAACCATTACAATGCGCAGTGAAATGTATAAATGTGTAGTATGCATAATAATGGTCGAGTATGCATAATAATGGTCAGTTTTGAGGAGCGCCCCCATTTGGAAGATTGGTACCAGCCCCCCCCCCCCTCCCCCCCACACACACTTTTTGATTTTACGGAGGGCAAGTGTTCGGAGGACCCCCCCCCCCCCCCCCCCCCATTTTACGGAGGGCAAGTTTTCGGAGGGAAAGACATGTCTACATTTCAGCGCGGATGTGCGGTTGCCTCCCTGACATCAACAGCTGGATACGCTGCTGTTGAGATGATATATATATGAAGATTTACCAAAAAAAAATTTCTACGAGTATTACAAGATCCCTGATTTGAATCCCTGTCATCTAGTCCCATAAATGTGACTGAAATACTGGACTACCTCCGTATAAGTCACAAAGCCACGTACAGTCTGTGCGCGGAGCGTCCCGTTGCTAGGGGGAGCCGAAAATTATTACAGATTGAAATTATTTTGTGAGATGAAAATCAACCTAGCTATAGTATGACTGATAAATAGCACCAAATCGTTAAATTCGGTACCTTCAGAGGTCTGGTTATTCAAAAATCATGGTGATTCATCAAAGAATGCAGACGGTTTTTGACAAGCATGACGTCTCCAGACTGTTTCCCGGCCACCCTAATAATAGTCAAGAGGCTAAAGGGGTCAAGGAACCAGACGAAAGCTTTAATCATCTACTAAGCGTGCGTCAATTTTGGCAAAGCGCACCGCGGCTGTTACCTGTCATTCCAAAATCTTTGGCGCTCTGTAA